TTCTGGGAGGTCGCGGCGCGATTCGCGATTCCGCACTTCATTGAAAACGGCTGTAAGCATGGATGCATCGTCTGATCGCACGCTCTTTCCTCCCGTCCTTCATCGTCGCCATCCTTTATCCTCATGGACATGTCAAATTTCACGCCGAATGTCCTCTACAACGATGAGCCATATAGTCTTCCCGAGGATCTGTGTCTAGATCAGTGGCGTAGCGACGCGGCTGTCAAGGACTTTGTGGTCGATGTCTTGACATCGCGGTATACTCCGGCGCGGGTCCAGAAGGCGCGCATGTCGTTGGAGCAGAGAATCGTGGAGGAGTCAACGTCTGACTGGGTACGTTATCGCATCTTATATGTTATCATTGTAGATACTTACTCAAGAAGCAGCTCCTACGTCTTCACTCGCTCTGCATACGACTGTACCAGTGTCGTACCACGCATGCGCATGCTGCACATATATTTGCTGGGGCATTGGAAGCTGCTGTCACTGCAGCTATTCAAGCCAAGTCAAAAGGCATTTCGACGATATCGGAAGATGATATCTGGATAGCTTCGCGAGGAGAGGAGGTGCGAGAGTGGTTGCGCGAACAGGGGGAGCATTTGAAGGTGCGTTACAATTTCGGGAGGATATCTTTACTTAATAGACTTGATGCTGACGATTCTCAAGGACGACTATGATTCCTTTCTACGCCCGAAGAAGAGCCTTGTTGCATCTCACGAGGATAACGACATGATTGATGATCTCTGTTCCACTCTCGAGACTGAGGGGCCAGATAGTCCCGATTACAACCCTCCGGGAAGCGAGATGGTTCTCGACTTGAGCAATGATGAGGCAGTTGAGCGCTTTGAGCTCACAACCGAGAATAAGACTGCATTTCGCGATGCATTGCGAATACCGGCAGTACAACTACGTGTGTGCAGACGCTGGACAGCCAATATCGGTGAATACTTTAAGCTGAGTCTCTCTGACGCTTCTGAAGGCGAGGTTTGTTCTATATCTACAAAGTAATTGTACGAAACCTGATTAATTCACAATTTATAGGTTGAACGCGCGTGCTTACCTGCTGTCAGCGCTCTGATGCAGATGAAAAATGCCCCTCGCCGTACCACTACTTGCACCGAGAGTTGGCAAGATGCCGTAGCGGTACGCTATCAAGTCCGTAGTCTTCAACTGTAACTTAACATGATACAGCGGAGTGGACTAGCAGAGTTATTGACGATGATCACCCGCACCGACTTCATGCTGCGCTGGCAGCTTCAGTCTCAGATCGCCACACACGAAGTTCTGCTACACGCACTTCACTCATCTTGCTTCCATCAGTGGCGAGAGTCCCTTGCTGCCATATACCAATCCTGGACACCAAAGATGTCCCCGGAGGAAATTGCCAGTGCAGCTGCCGAGGAAAGCGAAAACCCCGGATTGAACCTCCGGAACCTGAACGAATATGGCCATTCATCGTCTGAGTGGCTGAGGAGATATGTTGCGGTAAGATGAGTTCATGAGTGTGGTTCTTGGGTAGCTTAAACAACTTTCAGCGTCGTGAGCAGTCCAAGCGGACTGAATTTGAGCGCAAGCGGCGACGCGATGGAAAGACGAGAGAGTTTGTCTTGAACGCTCGGCTCAACATAGGCGAACAATTCCTCGGCTTCCTTGGTGATCACCCGCAGGTCCTTCCAGATCGATACAATATGCAAGGCTATTTTTTTCTTCTCGATCGTGCACATTTTTTGCGCAATTTTACTCAGTGGATCCGTGGCGCTCTCTTGTTGTATGGCTATACTGTAAGCCCGTCCCCCTTTATTCTTGGCTTCTGCCTGCTGAACTCTATGATGAAGGTCTCCCCTCCCGATGTCGAGAAGATCTATACCACGGTCAGGAGTGTGATTACAGAGCACCTGCAGTTCGATGGGCAAAATGAGAAACTCTATCTTTTATACAAGGAATGTGAAGGACTGCGTCGCACGATGAAGAAGAGGTTGCCAAAAGTCAAGCTAGAGACGGTATGTTCCCCGCCAGAGGCCTCGTGAAACTGTGCCTGATGTTATCTGTAGCTCGAGGGCTTCGAAGAGGTTTCCGTCCATTACGTGACGGCTCTCGACGAGGAGGAATTGGAGAAGATAAGGGGTTGCGCATTCACGTTTCACGATACGGACCATATTCAGGTCAAGGCAAGTTTTGTTGTCTGAACCAGCTCGTTACATATGCTCACGAGCAATCTAGACTACGGGTGGGAAGGGAAAGGGAAAGGGAAAGAAGGATAGCACCGAGCACAGGCCGGGAACGAGGTTCCTCGATCCTCGCAAGGCGCCTCTAAACCTGGAACGTGTGGCACCGATCGAGAAGAATATCCTCGGCAAGTACAAGCGCGATGTACATATCTTCATTGAAAAGTCGACGGGAACGCTTGTATGTTGATTCTTCCTACTCTCATCTCCATATTGATGATCTGGAAGGTTGGCGGTGTTATATTCAATGCACTCACCGACGCCGAATTGCGCGAGTCTTTGGCACACCACGCACTCATGTCCCAACATCCAAACTTGCAGCGTGGTGCATCATTTCTCGAATTTGCATTTGGCAAAATGGTGCCAATCGGGTTTCGCGTCCCAATGGGTGGTCGTCCTGGAGAAGATTACGCGCCGTACAAGGTCTTGATCGATGCGGCAGATAAAAGCCAAGAGCACAATGATAATGAGGATGTCCGACTCATGTTTGGACATGCAAAGGTGTGGATGGAATGATCATTAACTTCAATCACCTCTGACTGATAGTAATACAGGACTCTGAACGACTGTTCAATGCAGTGAGACGCTATGTACCGGAGGTTGTCAAGGAGATCCGCAAAGTCTCCGATGAGCACGGCTTGAAAGACATGGGTAGCTGTGGCGTGAGCAGCTACTACTGCACGAACTACATGGCACCGCAGCATAAAGATGGAGACATTGGTTGGTCTATTTGTTCACAGCTTTTCAAGAACCTGGAAAGCGCTGGTGGCTCCGAAACCGACGACTTTAACTTCGCATTTGCAAAATGGGGCAAATACATACAAACTCAAAAGAATTGCGTCTGGTATGATAGCTATTCTTATAATCATGTACTGTCATCTCACGTCCCACAGGTGGTTCCGAAGCAATGATTTGCACGGTACGATCATGCCGACAAACAGCACAGTTCAGAACCTATCAAGGCAAGCGAAGGAGGAGCGCAGGAATGCTGTGAAGTTTGCTCGCATGCAACGGATGCAGAGGCTGTCACCAGCAGAGCGCCTTCGTGGCGGTGCAGGTTCAGACAGAGAGGACGACGAGGATGAGGATGACAGGAGTGAAGTCTCCCAGGTTGCTATTGCCGGATCCCCTCCGCGCACTGGTTCGGGAGGCGTGCATGTCACCACACGCAAAAAGGATGCTGATCGTGCTCGAACGTTTAAGCAGACTGAAGAACGCAGCGCAGCCCGGAATAGGTATTGGAGGGAAAGGATAGACAGGTTGTAATATGGTACAGTAGAGTATGCACAAAACAGGGTGATTGAGGAGTAGAAACAGACAAGGAACATGATGAGAAAGGCAGAAAACATAGAGACCAACAAGGAAACTGCATCATGAAGAGAGCGAGCGTCCAATGTGAGGTAGCGGACGAGATGTTCGTCGATGATGCGGTCTAGTTCAAACTCAACCGAGCGGTCGGGGGTCACAATCGCTCCAGCATCCTGCCAGATAACTGGCCGAGGTCGCCACATGGGGCACGGCTCCAGAGTCGATCGATCAGAATGAAGAACCCGAGAATGTAGGGGATGAAGCGATGCCATGGTTGCTCGTCCAATGTGTCAGCGGAACGACACAGTTCTCGTAGGTACTCGGACATATAGAGGAGATGTGTCTTCGCGCGCAGGATCTTGTCCGAACAGGGCATAATGGACTTGGATGTGGCGGAACTCCTTCTCGTCGATGATATCGTGCCAGTCGTACTGTCGTACTGTCGTTGGCATTAGTGGATGTCCGTCTATGCAGCCAAGGGTGAGGCGTGACACAGGAGCGTCGCGCTGGTCTGTGTGGCCTGGATGCTGCTGAAGCGCTGGAGCTCCTCGGGCTTGACAAGGACACAGTTGCCAAAGCCGACCTTGCGGATAGCGCGGCGGATGAAGTTCGTGCGGTTAAAGTACAAGTTCTGGTTGATTGAAGTGTCACGGGATTGGGTGTGTGAGCGGAACATCCTCGGCTTGAGCAGCGATCTCCTTGGCGGACTGGCACTCGTGGGGGGCGCGAAGCCGCTTGCTGGGGGTAGCCTTCATGACGAACTTGATCAAGTCGAGCGGGAGGAACCAGATGATGTCCTAGGAGTAGAGTAAACAACATGTACGATTGCATAGATAGAGATGAGCATACACCGGAGATACCCTCAATGTCGGTGAAGCCACAGTCGGCGTAAATGGTGACGATCGTCGAGACGAGCCGGGCCAAGTCGAGAGTACACGGAGGGTGTCCGACAGGCGCTCCATGAAGAAGATGTCCTGTGAACGAGCGACATAGATGAGTGCCTGCGAGATGATGACGACTTGGAGGTAGATGATCGAGTGCAGCTGTCTGTCGTTCGAGTGGATGGGGAAGGGTGTGGTGAGTGAC